GGTCTGTATGTGGGATCCGAACCCTCGGACGGGAGCGCCGCCGCGCCTCCCAAGTGGCGCACTATCCAGTGCGCCACCGGGCCGGCCCGAAGCAGCGTAACTTTGCGAGATCAATAAAATAGCTTTTCTCCCTGTGTTGTTATAGCCATGGATGCGCTGATAACGAAAACAACAACTCTTACGTGATAATTGCTCTGATTTTTTATTTTATAGGCTCATGCAAACTAACTCTCCATTTTCTTTCACAAAAATTTTAGTAGATCTAGAGCTTTTAAAAAAGGGCTTTTCTTGGTTATTTCCCCATCTATTTTTTTTTCCTTAAAATATAAAACATAAGGGTAGAAGCTTTTAAATTATATTCTATTGAATTCTATTAAGGTACTGATAATGTTACAAGTTAATAAGATAATTTTTTAAGTATGTGGTAATTTTAAGTGGAATTCTAAGGTATGTGATCATTTATACGGTCAGCTATAGGGTGGTGAGTGTTTCTCTAAGTTATTTTTATCCTGTTTGGTTATATATGATTAATCATTTTTTACATGTCTTTATGTTTTCCGTGCATGTGGATATTATTTGAGCTGGGTTAGGCTTATCAAGTGCTCTCTGTAGTGGTTCACCAGGTGACCGCAGGCTGTCAGAGTCTTGGGGCTAATTTCTTCAGTTTTTCCTCTGTGAGTTGTATTTTCCAGGCAGTTCTTGTTGAATTTGGGGCTGTGGATTTTACTTAAGAAAAATCACTGATGCGGAGATGAAGCTGGGCTGCTGTTTTTTTTTTGAGATAATAAAGGGAAGCAGCTTTTGTCTTCCATGGAAGAATGAGACGGTAGAATAAGGAGTAGGGAGGGCACGTAGGACGTTGAGATGCTTGGGTCTGACTTCTGCCGGGCCCTGGCCGTCTCTGCAGCCGAGGAGTACCTGTCCTTTGCCTTTGAGCACTGTCATCGCTCAAGTCAGAAGAACAAGAGGATGATTCTGATATATTTGCTTCCAGTGAAAATGCTATTGGTAAGTGATGGTTACCCAGTTTTTACAGACTCTGGTGCTTTAGAGAAGCTGATGGGCTTTTTAAAACATAGCAGACGCTGTGTAGCTGATCACAGTCCGAGCTGCTGTGAGCACACCCCAGGAATAGAGAGGGGATCAGCCTTGTGAGTGGCCCAGACAGCGTAGCTGCGTGTCTGACACTTCCAGATCCTTCAGAAGTGTGATGTTCATGTGACAGATGAAACAAGTACATACTATTTGTATTTCTCCCTAAAAACCTAAAGTAATAGCAGTGGAGCAGCCAAGAAAGAAAAATGTCATTCTAGCCTGTCTGTAGGTGTTTTATTTAGTCACCAGAATTTATTTTTGATACTTGAAATGCCAAATAACTGGTAAGTTAGTTGACTAATACGTCCTCAAAGTGATAGAGCTTTCTTTTCTCCCATTTAAAATTTTAAAAATAATCAGAACAGCACACACAGATGGTTAGTACATTTCAGCATAGCTTGTAATCGAGAGGCACCGGTGTCACTCCCATGCCTGTCCACTGCTAACCTGTTCCAGACTTACGCAGTTTTAGGTTTCTTAGCTGATTCTTCTGGAAGATGTTTCTGTATTCTTAAATCTCATACTTGTAGTAGTATTTCTTCAGTTATCACACTCCTCCTAGTATATAAATGATAAAAGACATGAGAAGGTCAAGACCAAGGTCACATGTCATTGAATGACAGACGGTGTTGTGCCCGGGTTTTCTGACTTCTAGACCAGTGTCGTGGTGGTGGTTTTCCTAGTGTACTATGAGGGTTTTAATTCTTATTCAGCTACTTAAGAAATTCTAAGAAACTCGGGGTGGTTTTTTTTAAAACTCAATTCCTTGATAAGAATTTTATTGAAGACAATTCTGTTAAAAATGAAAGCATTTTTATGCTGGAAAATTAACTCTTTGTCTTAGGGTCATATGCCAACCATCGAGCTTTTGAAAAAGTATCATCTCATGCAGTTTGCTGAAGTGACCAGAGCTGTAAGGTAGACTATTTTATCCTTTTGCCTTTGGGGTTTTTAAAAATGGCATGCACGTCGTGTGAGAAAGTGTTGCTTCTGATGCCCTCCTCCTGGGGTTCTGTCTGTCATCAGCGAAGGCAATCTGCTCCTGCTGAACGAGGCTCTGGCCAAGCACGAGACCTTCTTTATCCGCTGTGGTATTTTCCTCATCCTCGAGAAGCTGAAGATCATTACCTACAGGAATCTCTTCAAGAAAGTGTAAGTGTTCGGCCGACAGGTTTACGCTCCTGGTGCGGTTCACGGGGTAGAGTTGGATTGTGAAAGCTTACAGGTAGGGGACGTCCCTTCTGAGATAGGGATGGCAGCCTGCAGGGACAGGCAGGGAGGCAGGGTCCCCTTTAATTGTGTAGAATGAAAGGAAACTCCCGCCCACTGCCTCCTGGGGGCCTTGGTGCTGAGAGAGATCACAAAAGCTTTGCCTGCACTTCTGGGGGAGTGACCCAGGTCTGTGGGAGCAGACACTTGACAGCATCAGCCCTGAGAGTCAGATTCATCACATTTTGTCAGAACATGTGGGATTGTTTGCTCATTTCCTTCGTTCACAACTAGCTAAGGTGGAGATCTTTTTGAGTGCCTTTTGAATGCTGGCTTATTAAAAGATGTGTTTTCCCCACCCCGCTCTCTCCTGGTACTTGTCCCTGGCCTTTGAGGTGCTACACTCCGTTAGTGACTAGCGTGAATTTCTCTCTCCTCTCCCAGGTATTTGTTACTCAGAACACATCAGCTGTCTCTGGATGCTTTTCTAGTTGCCCTGAAGTTCATGCAGGTGGAAGATGTGGACATTGATGAAGTCCAGTGTATTCTGGCTAACTTGATATACATGGTATGTGAGCCTTGTTTTAATTTGAACAGCTGTGCAAACAGCGTTTGGTCTAGAATTTGAAGCTTTAATGTGGTGGTGTTAAAATTGATAAAAGGCCCTTTGCTTTTACGAAGATATTTTCTGATAGAACTAATTTTATTCCAGGAAATACCATTCAAAGGGCTGGTAGGGGAGAGGGTAGATGGATATAATATATACTTCTGTGTTCTCCACCATATGTTTTTATTTTTGATTCATTGTCTCCCCAGTGAATTGAATTGCACTGTTATTGGTAGAAAATGCTTACACCAAGGAACTAATTAATTGAACCACTCAGCGTCTTTGATGTGACTCGCATTCGCATTCAGAAATGTAAGCTAATTCCTCTTTTTCTCTCCTCCAGGGTCACATTAAAGGCTACATATCGCATCAGCACCAAAAGCTAGTTGTCAGCAAGCAAAACCCGTTCCCTCCGCTGTCCACGGTGTGTTGAGTGTATGAACAGCCCTGAGGATGGGGGAGCAGTCTGTTCCTTTTGATTTTAGTCCCAGGGATGCTGAGACTGAGTTTGAGTTTGCCTGCACACCCAAACGGTGGGATACCCCATCATTCATAACTAATGCCAACCTCAGAAAGACCTGGAATTCCTTTTTCAGAAAGTACAAACACCTCTGCTGGCTCTGGAGCATTTGTGAGTCTTCTGTGAAGGAGGCTTTGTGCTAAGGCAGCTATGGTTTACTTTTCATAACCGTGGTTCGTAGAGGCTTATCTTTGTGACTTTTTATAGCTTTTTCTATAAAAAAGGCATTCTGAATTTATACAGATGTCATATTCTTTATTGTGTCTTTCAGGATACATCTATTTTTATATATTAAATTTGAACATTTTACATGATCAAAATGCTTATTTATCTTAACGTTTCTTTTTAAAAGCAGAATTTAATTTGATTTAAATTTCCCAGATTTTATAGCTTGCCTGTATTAGTCAGCTTGGGCTGCCATAACAGATACCACAGGCTGGGTAACTTAAACAACAGGGATTTATTTCCTCATACTTCTGGAAGCTGGAGGTCTGAGATGAGGAGAGTGCGGTTCTGGTGAGGGCCCTCTTCTGAGTGGCAGGTGGCCGTCTTCTTGCTGTGTCAGAGGGAGATGCTCTCTTTGTCTCTTCCTCTTCTTATAAGGCCACAGTCCTGTCAGATTAGGACCTTACCCTTATGACCGCATTTAACCTTAATTTCCTCTGAAAGATACAGTCACACTAGGGGTCGGGGCTTCCACTTCTGAATTTGTGGGGCACAGTCCAGTCCATAGACAGCACTGCCATTGTTCAGCCTTTTCAAAGTACGTACATTTCCTCTGTTCACAAAAATTTACTAAAGAAGAAAACTTCATCAACTGTTCTAGCTCATCTTTGTAAAGTTACCAAGTTTGAGAGCTGCTTGTCCCCTTTGCACAAAGAGAAACCATTCCAGCACGTGGGTCTGCCTTGCTCTGCAGACAGCTCATCCACGGCCCCTCTGGAACCTTGTCCTTGACGCAGGCGACTTGAGTGGTTGTCACGCACACACAGGGCAGGTTCACTGGTTACATTTCCTACTCTGCTGCTCATAGTTTAGCTCCAAAAAGAGCAGCCAGGCAGCTGTGGCAGAGGAGGCTCTCGCCAGCGTGATGGAGGCCGCAGTGTGGGCCCAGGACTGGCCATTTGGAACGGTGCTCGCCAAGAGAAGAGGGCACCTTTGCCCATGGTTGCTGGGGAAGCAGGGCGGAGGCAGCAGACCATCCTCCTCGCGTGGGAACTCAGCGGAGCACACGGTTGTGGGCCTTGCCAAGTTTGCAGCCCCAGCAGAGCTGCACCTGCGGGACTTCTTTCCCGGGTGTCAAGGTGGAGACACCCATTAATCCTCTCGGGGTGACATTCATTTCATAGCTGAAAAGGAAAACAAGGGAAAAACCAGAAATGCTAACGTAGGAACATTAGGGTCATTTTATCATCTCCTTGCATGTGGGTGTTAGGTTCAGCGAGATGGAGAAAAGGGAGAGAGAGAGAGACCCAAGCCAGGTGCTTTTTCAGCCAAAAGCTTTATTCCATGAATGTGGAGGGGAGACTGAGCCAGATCAGTTCCCCTGAACTAAGGAAAGCAGGGGGTTATAAGACTTCTAGGGAAGGTTCAGAGTAATGGGCAATTTTGAAATCAGTGGTGTGGCAGGTCACACAGTCCTTGTGGTCCAGTAACATCTGGTAGGTGAAGTCGTAGACTCCCAATTAGCCACTGTCTCAGCACAAAGCATTCCGGCCCAAAGTGTGCTAGGCACAGCCCACAAGACATTCCTTTCATGATAACAGTAATGTTTGCCACTTCCCAGGAGAGGAATCTCAGTTCCCAGAGAAGAAAGGAAAATGGGGGGTGGGGGGTGGCTCAACATGGCTGGGCTGAAGCCAAGCCAGCCATGAGACCCAATAGTGGGGTTCTGGACTTTCAGTCCCAATGTCCTCCTTCTCTTCAGATTGTTGGCTCCTCATGTGAATGTTTCCCACACCTCCGTATTTCATGAATACACACAGAGAAAGCAAAGATTCAGAGACTTGATAGCGCTTGTTTCTCAGGAAAGCTAACTTGGTCCTGGTGTATTCCTGCATGCGGCAAATTGCAGTATATCTCTGTTTTCTTAGTTGTCTTTCATTTCCCACTATGCTGGCTCTTCTCTTTAAATGGCTTCTTTCAGGAGCCGGGAGGGGATGTTTAGCATGGCCCCATGTGGGTGGTTGAGCGGCTGGGAGTGGGGAAGATCAGAGCCCCCCTTTGGCACATGTAGGTGTGGAGCGTCTGGGAGACCTTATTACCTGGGGCCATCAAGGAGACGGCTGGAGTAGAAATCTGGACTCAGGGGAGAGGCATGGGCTGGAAATAATGTTTCCCCAGAGAAGTGGACTTGGAGCTGACCAGAGGCATTGAAAGGATTAAGAGTATTTGTTTCCGTGGCTGATAATCATTGGTAGGAAATCGGTTTCCTCGAACCCACAAGGACATGTTGCGTGAGTATTTAAGGAATACTCGTTCACGAAGCTTTGAGGCTTCCCTGTGGGAATGTTTTTCCGTGGCTGATAATCATTGGTAGGAAATCGGTTTCCTCGAACCCACAAGGACATGTTGCATGAGTATTTAAGGAATACTCGTTCACGAAGCTTTGAGGCTTCCCTGTGGGAATGTCTCCAGCTGGCGTGCCTGGCCCTGTTAATGCCTGCATGAGACCCCCCTCCCCAGCTGGTGAGCAGATCATGAAGGGTTTAGGTGGGAGTGGGCCGGGGAGGAGGTGAAGGGGGCCCTAGGCCATGAAAAATACAGCAGGGTATCTAGGGGACGAGAGTGCAGTTCATGGAACACAGCCTGCATTCGGGGTGTGACTTCCAGTGGAGGATCTTGTGCCTGGTCATGGTTCACAGGACCAAGCAGGGCCCGCACAAGTTTAACACAAAAGTAAGAAACACACACTTACAGTTCAGTACCGAGTGCAGGCCGGCTCAAGAGAGTGAGCAGCTGCTCGCTGAAGGTAAGTCTGACACTAAATCAAAGCCTACACACCTCAGCTGGCAAAGTGCAGGTTGGCCCCAGGAAATGAGCAATAGCCCACCTTCTGCTGGGATTCAGCTTTTATAGTTTCTATCTAATACATATTCATGCCATCTAGTGAATATTCAACTAAGAGGGTGGTTCCCTGTTATGTAACTTAGTCTTGCACATGCTCAGTCGGTCTCTTTTGGAGCATGTTCATTAGTCAGATTTTGTCACATGCACCAGACATATTCAAGAAAATTATGTCCTCTTTAGTGCCCCTAGTGGAGGGTCAAAGGATTAAACTCCCTCTACTGAGCATGCTCAGCTACCATGGTTATTATAACCCCTCCCTACTGAGCATGCCCAGCCACTGGATTTGCATAAGCAGTCCCCTGAGGTTTCAATCTCCCTGTGTTGGTGACAAAAACAGGTCTAAAAGCAACAGTAACTCTCCTCTAAGAGGGGCCTGAGACCTCGGGGAGTGTCCTGAAACCCAGAGGTGCGTTCTGGAACCTGAGCCCAGGGAAACTGAGCACCTCCTGTCTCAACAGGGCTGGGTCCTGCACAGGGGTCCACCTGCAGGAGAGAGAAGTGGAGCTGGCCAGGACTCAGCCTCTGTCCACACTGGTGTCACCTCTGCCATCCCCAGGGCCTCCCTGGGACATCCCCTGGCTGCTTGCTGCTCAGCTCACAGAAGGCTGGCTGCTGGTGCCCCCTGCTCGTTTTTACTGCTTCCATGTCATCCCCTGGCCCCCCACCCATGTGCCAGCACCTGCCCCACGAGGCCCATCTTCACCTCTTCCTGCCTGCCCCATTGTCACCATGCCTGTCCAGTGTGGCTGCAGCTCTCCCTTTCTCACTTCATGGTGGGTCCTTGCTCTGCTCCCTTTGCCCCCATCGGTCCCCGGTCTGCGTCACTCTCCTCTTTCTGAGGTCACCTGCCTGTGCTCCTCCCGCAGGAACACCTGCTGAGCAGTCCCCAGACCACAGTCATCTTGGTCCGGGCCATTGCCATTCAAAACTTAGTATGAGTTCTGACCCTTCTGCCACATGAGCCCTCCCAGGATCCCAGGGGCTGTGCAGATGGAAGGAACTCCTGGGGGGGCGGGGTAGTCCTCCCAGCCCCACGGCCCAAGCCCCCCAGGTGCCTGGGAACTGCCCAGATGCTGGGCAAGACCAGAGCCACGTGTGCTTCCTCAGGGTCCTGGTGACTCAAAGTCATGAACCATCCAGAGGAAGTGACCCTTGAAAGAGGTGGAAAAACCACTTGCCAAAGTGGTAAACCTCTCCAGAGGTCAGCCTGTAAAGTTAAGGCACAAAAACGTTACAAGCTGGACATCTGTTTTTCTATACTCTTTCCTGTAGATGGACTGGAAGATAATCAAATGTTTGATTTTATTCATCTAATAGGAGAATATTGGTTGAGACAAAGAATGCAGAATTTTTTACTCTATTTAATAGCCTACCTATTTGTGTTAAGTTTATGTAATATATATGTAACAAACACTACTCAGTATGTATTTACCACGGCCTGTGGTGGGAGGCACAGACGCCCTGCCCCCAGGGTCCCTCCCCTCCTTGGGGACAAATCTCCCTGGCCTCACTCTACAAAGCACATGAAACATTAAAAACTCACATCACCTGTTCTTTTTTAATAAACAGATTAGAGTTTTCAAGGGATATATGTGTGTGGAGGGTTGGGGGAGGTTAGTTTGGGATGAGGATATCTAAAATTAGGAAAATTACTCAGACTTGAAGCCTAGAAAGAGAGCGTAAGAAACTGTAGCTACCAAAATCACACTCAAACATGAATGCCATCATGGTAGTAAATTAAGAACACAATTTTTCCTTTACCAGAAAGTTCAAAACAAACATTTAGGGCAAAATACTTAGAAATACTTTTACTCTTTTCATGTGCATTAAGAATTTCTCTAATTATGGGCCGGCCCTGTGGCGCACTCGGCAGAGTGCAACGCTGGGAGCACAGCGGCACTCCTGCCGTGGGTTTGGATCCTATATAGGGATGGCCGGTGCGCTCACTGGCTGAGCACGGTGCGGGCGACACCAAGCCAAGGGTTGCAATCCCCTTACTGGTCACGAAAAAGACAAAAAAAAAAGAATTTCTCTAATTATGTTAATGATGGTCTATTTTGTAAGAGTTCTCCTATACGTGGGCATTTAAGAAACTATAATTTTAAAAACATTTTTTAAATGTACTAGAGAAATATGCCAACATTTTATTTAGCCAACTATAAGTATTGCTACATTTATATGTAGAACTGGGAAGTCTTTATTAAATATTTTACTATTCTGGGGGCCGGCCCGGTGGCGCACTGCTACAGTG